AAAAAAAAAAAAAAAAAAAGAAAAAGGAAAACAAAAGGGAAAAAAAATCCTACCTGTTGAAAAAACATGCGAGCTTCCTCCTCATGTAACCTGCCCTTCTCCACTATATGATCAAATAACTCACCAGATTTCACATATTCCATCACAACGTATATGTCCGAATGTGTCTCCACAACCTCGTACAGACGTATGATGTGAGGATGCATGAACAATCTCAAAATTTTGATTTCTCTTCGAACTGCAAAAAGGCAATTTTCACACTTTCATAAATTCTTAAGGTCTAATATACACCAGTAATGCTGTAATATTATATAACAGGATAACATGCATCATGAAACTTACTATAAATATAACACGAGAATCAGCACTAGGTTATAGTATCTGCTTTGCATATGACATTAACATATGTTATATAAGCGTTTAATACTGGTTTAGATTACCTTTCTCTTCCATGTCCATATTCTTTATTTTCTTACGGTTAAGGATCTTGACAGCAACTTTGTGCCCAGTCAATGCATGTTCAGCAACTTTAACTTTACCGAATGAACCAATTCCGAGAGTCTTCCCGAGCTTGTAGTTCCTCAAGAACGAATCAACACTACTAACATTCTGGATTGGCCCGTCCATGATCCTAAATAGACATGAATGGAGAATAAATAAAGATCAGCAAATGTATTAATTAATACCCAGAAAGGATAACATTCATACACATGGAAAGATTGACATTCAGTAATAAATTTTCCAAAACTCTTCGACACATCAAACAACCAGCAGCTATTGAAAGGGGACCCACAAGGATAAATCAGGAAAAAAAACGAGCATCGGTAATCACAACGGGTGATTTCTACGAGTACAGATTTATTTTGGCTGATCAAATGCATTTATTTGATCGCTACAAGTTCCGTAAGAAAACAACACGTGGGGTTCTGATCGAAGAGAACAATGTCATTAAACGATTAAAACCGTTCAATAAATAACAAGAGAGTTCAAAACTTAACAGAGCAAGCAAAACCCACCCAACTGACGATCTAAGTTAAAAATTGTGCAAGATTGCCAGTTTTTTCCCTGACCTATATAATTTCCATATCTCTAAACAAAAGAAATCTGAGAAGTGAAACCCGCAACAAAATCCTAAATAACAGCTAAAATCACGAAATAACTCTCATGAACACATCCTGATTCGCTACCCAATATCGAACAACCCAAACCAACAAAAAAATGAAAAGAAACAAGAACCCTAAAGCTAGAGTCTTTCCACTCAACAAACAAAAGATTTCCCAATGCAAAGAAACTCAAAAAATAAAAATAATAATAATAATAAATCGCCCCAGCTCTCCTCAATACAGATCCGTGAAACTCATTCAAAGACAAAAATAAGAACAACGAAGCCCCAATAAGTTACACCGACCCACAAAATCTTCAATTCAGAAAGAAGCAAACAAGAACAAGAAAAAGCGCCCGTGGCCCATTAAAAAATATGCAAAACCCACAGGAGCAAAGCTTACCCAAATGCCAAAACGACGTCGCTTGCAGGCGCAACTCTTGAATCTTGATAAGCTGGAAAAGGTGTTACAAAAAAAAAAAAAAAGATTGATGGGTTCGTGAGAATGATAAACAGCTGAATTAAAAACCCAATTTTTCCGGCAATTTAATTTGTGTGCACCTCGATTGCCTCCTCCAATGCAGGCCGAGAGGAGCTGATGATGATGATGATGGTGAAAGCCAAGCGCCGAGCCCCTTTTTCGTTTTTATTTTAGTTCGTTTTCTCCGTCCGAGCTTTCTTTTAATTAATTATGCTTATTTGGTTAATTAAAATTAATCACTTTCTTTTAATTAAAGTTTAATTTTAAACACGATTGGCATTGAAAGTACGGTTACAAAAATGGAAGTTTAGTTGGGTGAGTGGGAAGAGATTAATCGGGATGAGGTTTGCAATTATTGAGATGATGAAATCGTGCGGCTGAGATTAATTTTAGGTCAAGTGATAATTTTTAGTAATCAAAATGTCAGTTTTGCTATAGAGTTATCGGATGGTTCGTTTATGAAGTCATCCGTTGTTATTCACAAATAGTGTATTGACACGTGTTTTACAATAAATGCACTTTGAACAAGTGTCAATAAACTAAATCATGGACGACTCCATAAGAAAACTATCCGATTATTCCATAGAATTTTGGATCAAAATGTTCCCTAACCAAAACCAAGTTGCTAACATTATTATAACCAAAAAAATTTGATAACATGCTGGCAGAAACGATTTATTTTTGTAAACAAATAATGGCGAAGAAAATAAAAATTAATAATTTTGATAATAAATAATTTTGATATTATGATACAATTAAGGGTAGTGCACATAAAGTTAGTAAAATAATAATAAAAGTAGTTTGTTATGAAAAATATAAGGGTTTCATTGAAAAATATAGTATATAGCAATAATTATTTAAAGTTGGTAAAATAATGACAAAGTGATTAGTTAAGGGTTTCATTATAAAATATATAATAATATGATTTTCTTTAATTTTTAATTGAAGACAAAAGTTAAAATGAATGAATATAAATAAAAAAAAAAGTGTATTAAGTCATAACTAAAAAACCAGTGGCAACTCGTACGATGCATGGGAGAATATATTTAAAATAAAATATTTAAAATTTTGAAGGATATTAAATTGTGAAAGAGTTATTATGCATACGACAATAATCACAGCTCGACAATAACATGGGAAGTCATAATATATATTATTAAAAATTTCTTTTTTATACAACTAGTACATGGCTGCGATGCACGGGTACGATAATCTTGTATAAATTAAATGGGAAAATAAATATAGATTAATATAAAAATATTATATAATATATATTTTATTTTATCTTCTTAATATATAACAATTTACACTACAAAAAAAAATATTATATTCCAACAAGAAATCCTACGATAATATATTTTAATGGAAATTCTAATAGTGTGAGAGCACAAGATAGCTTGAAATATGACATGAGTGTAAGTTGGATCACATGTGTGCAAATTGCGACATTATTTCAATACGATTGAGTAATTATATTCATCGATTACACTTTGTTTCCACACTCGTTAGGCATATTAGGTTTTTGCCAGAGAGTTGTCTATGTGAAATAATGTGTAATGGTTGTCAACGTAGCCCAAAGACTTGACAATAAGTGGTAGTTCAATTGATAATACCCTTCACTTCAGGCAAATATGTATCGAGTTCGAGTTATACATAGGGTAAGTAGAGGTCAAAAGAGAAAAAAAAAAAAAAAAAAAAAAAAAAAAAAAGTGGCTCAAGGGCTTTTGACCGAATTTTGAACCACATTTTTGGGCTTTTGAAGGCTTAGAAATAGCCCATCATATGGAGAAAACTAATAAAGCCCAAACCTTTACCCATTAGTAAAATATAAAGTTGTTGGACAAAACCACTTATTTCAAAATAACATTAACATTCTATTATTACAATTTTCTTTTAAGCAATTATATTTTGATGGGAACCACAAAGGCACATTTGGGAAATAAAATTAGTGGTCTTTTTTTTTTTTTTTTTTTTTTT